TACATAGCATCTCCCAAATTTGAAACTAATGAAATACTATAGAAAGGATTTTTATTTGAGAGTACTGTAGGAAGTTACTGTTTTCATAAATTACGACCGATTCAATTGAGAGTTGTTGATCATTACGGCCTTTTTCCATCATAATTGAACCAATGAGTTAAATCCTAGCTATTGAATGGTAATGGATCCTATAGTAACGCATCAAATTGAAGAATCGTTTCCATTGCAATTTATCAAAAATTAAGAAATCTCTCTATTCACAACAATGAAGGCATATTAACTCACTTCAATTGTTAGAAATAGTGTACAAAAAATTACAAATAATTGGTTTTCTTTAAAGAGCTATTAAAAAATTATAAACCTTAAACCTTTATGGCACATATACACAGACAAAAGAAAAATTGCATGCATAACCGTACAGGCAAAATCATACTAAAAACAAAGAGATCTTTAGAATGGTAATAACAATGAAAAGGAAGAAGCTTAATCATAGTATTTATCTGACTTCAACCCCCAAAAAATTGCCATTAGTACGGGTCATTGGAAATTACCCCCCCCCCCAAAAAAAAATAGATGTGCAATCTATAGCAATCTAGTAGAAAAAGCAAGGAGATAATTTGCAGACCCAAAACTTGCAATTTGATATCATCATGGCAAACCCCAAAAAACAAACTAAAACAGGATTTATGTTGATCAAACATGGAGAGAGAGAGATACTTTGCAATCTGATAGTATATCCAAAATTCTCAATCTAATAGAATTATCCCAATACTCATAAAAAAATATAATTAAAATTGAAAGCACTTATAATACCTACAAAGCAATGAATACCCTCAATGGACACAATAGCTTAGAAAAATTTCAAGTACCATCAACACCATCTAGTTGTAGACCTCAAGTGCCATGAACAATAACCTTGAAAAGAGAGAGAGAGAGAGAGAGAGAGAGAGAGAGAGAGAGAGTGAAATCCTTACCTAAACAATAATCAAATAACAAAGAATGAGTAACCAAAATAATAACCCTACATATGTCATTATACACTATCTAACAAAATGTGCCAAAGATATTCTCATGGACCCAGTAAACATAGCTAGGTGAATGGAAATAAAAACAGGGGAGAATGAGCAAAAGAATCAACAAATAGCATGAAAAACAAGTGTGCTAACTCTATGGATGTTGCTCCTTTATGACCTAAGCTAAAAGAATCAAACAATGAAGGGTTTTAATACCTACAAAGTACAACCAATGGTACCAAAAATCAAAAAGTTATTGAACTACAACCAAAAAAAAATTAAATATCAAAAACTAATTTAGAAGAAATCCATAATTATAACCTTGAATTCAAACTTCGACTTCGACTTCGACTTGCGATCTTTGACTTGACCCAACTTCACCATTATACGAATCAAAGAACAGAGAGATTCTACAAAATTGTAAGAAATCTATGGTGGTGTGTTTTCGCCGGTGGTGGTAGAGCAAGGTGGTGCTCCGGCAAGAAAAATGATTGGTTTTGGGTGTGATGAGATTGGTAGTGGTTGATTAGCAATGGCAAATTTAAAATTTGGGGCTTTAAATCGGTGGATTGGAGTTCTTGTTGACATGTGGTTTGTTGTTGAAAGCAATTAGAGAGAGTGAAATGGGTAAGAGATTGGAGGGTTTGAAAGCGATGAACCAACTAGGTCTAATCCAAAACCTTCCGATTATTGAACCATAAATGTAACGCCCTCAAAATAATACATAAAACCCATCACTTTAGACATGCATTGATATAAAATAAATCAACTATTTCTATTCATCAGAGTAATTCTTACAACTGTATCACATGTTAACAACAAAAGCAAATGCCCTATGGGCTTACAGCTTTCCAAGTTAACACTTGGTTACAAAAAGAGTGCTAACTCAATACATATTAAGCCCTTGGCTTGAATTTACATGTAATACATCAAAATAAACAAAAAGAGTCTTCAACTCTCATCATCATCCAAGCTATGTCCTTGGAGGTGGCATACTACCTGTACCTGAAAATAATGTCCCATAAAGGGTGAGCCAACGCCCAGTAGAGATATGCTAAACACAGTATGAGCAATGACTAAGATATTAGCAATTGATAAATGTTCAATTTCCATAAACCAATTCATAACCCTTTTCTATTTCATGACCACTATGTTCATGTTTCATTTCAAATTTCATTTCTTATCAATTTTACAATTTACATCAACGGCTCAGAACCTGGCCAACCACTTATATGAGATAGTGACTCATATTAAACATTTTCCATTTTCACAGTAGATAAACATACTAGTTGTATCAACATCTCAACAGATAAGCATACAAGCTGTATCCACATTTCAACAGATATGCATATTAGCTATATCAACACTTCCAAAGATAAGCATACGAGCTGTATCAACACTTCCAAAGATAAGCATACGAGCTATATCAACACATTATCTGACAAGCATATGAGCTGTATCAGTGGAGTCCATCCCCTATCTCCTCCCAAACAACATCCGGTTTAGAGGTCCATCCCCTATCTTCCCCTAAACCGTGGAGTACATCCCCTATCTCCTCCCACATACACAACGTATATACACAAAGGTCATATACACAATCAATCAATACATAACATTAATGTATTCTATCAACCGTCATACTCTATGACATATCCAATTGATTAGTTTTAGTTTGCCTAATCATCATGCATTGTCTACAACAATCAAAACTACCCTCCACCGGTAGCCCAAGCAATTATTTCTAAACAGATAATAAAAGCTCCAACAGATAAAATATCAATGTTTTCAAAAGTGAGTGATTAATAAATCTAACTCCACTATTCAACCATTTAATGAACCAATTTCATTATTTTCTACTCAGTTCCATATAACCACAATTTTCCCAAATTAATCATACCAATTAATTTATACAACCAATTAGGGTTTTCTACCCCATTTCCCAATATTGATCCAATGGTCTATATATCAACAACCAACACCAATAACACCATTTTGAATCCCAAAATACATATTATGAGCCCAAAATCACAAAACCCTCTTTAACACATTTTGAAACCCTAAGTCCTAAAATTACCCAACTTCAATACTTTATCAAACAACCAAAAATCTATGTCAAAGACCATAAGAGTGAGTACGAATTCCTACCTCAAATTCGGAGCTCAAGGAAAGAAGACGAAGAAAATCAACGTGCTCCAAAACTCAATATACTCGGATCAAAACGTAGCCCTCGACGATCAACCCAACTCTTACAAAGGCCGAAGGGAAGGGAAACACTCTAACTAGATCAAACGCTAGAGAGAAGGGAGTTTCTAGAGAGAGGAGCTCTCAAAAAGTCTTTTTAGAAAGTAAGAGAGAGAGAGAGAATGTAAAAAGTGATTTTAAAATGCCCAGCTGCCAACTGATATACGACATTCCCGCTTGAGCGGAGAACACAACGCTCGAGCTTCAAGAACAAAAAAAACTAGGTCCGCTCGAGCGCAATAAGGCCCGCTCGAGCGCCAAGACACAAGAATAAAGTACATCCGCTCGAGCGTAGATTTCCCCCTCCCAGAACTTACACCAAAAGGTACTACCCGCTCAAGCGCCACCGCTCGAGCGCAAAGAAACCCGCTCGAGCGTGAAAAACATGCCTGCAGAAGTTCTGCAGAGCATCAAAATACTGGAAGCGTGCAATCTCCGTTCGAGCGCAAGAAGACCCGCTCGAGCGGACCTCCTAAAAAAAATTGGGCAACAAGGAATTGAAACCAAAGCCTAACCAACCTGTAACAACTTTGCCCAATACATCCTAAAACTCAATCAAGTGGAATTAAAGGATTACAGCAAGGTATACCACCACCAACATCACGGAACCAAGTCCGGAATACAACAGAACAGTAAAGGGACAACCAGGATCGCTATAATAAAAGAGAATGAAGAAGGAAGTGTGTGACAGAAGTAGAGAGTGAGACTGAGAGAAGGTGTGTTTGAAATTTGAAATTCAAATGAGAGAGAGAGAGAGAGAGAGCTGAACAGGAAGGGATGGGCTGGAAGAAGAAACAAAAGGAGAAAATGTATCCTCTACCGTAGGATGTATGCCAAACAAACAATATCAACCATTAAAAGACAATTTGTATTTTGGAAATTTTTAGACCATTAGATTGTATTAATCCTAACCATTCAAAGTGACATCTAGGACAAAATTGTAGTACATTTTCAAAAAGCAGGTTGCTTTATTATATAGATAATTGTGCTAGACTTAAGAGCGAAAGAATATAAACTACTTCAAATGAAACCAGGTCTACATGATCATTCTCTATCCATTAAAGTTTAACCAATGTATTTAAAAGTCAAATCCTTCCACATGTTCTTCCTAGTGTGAGAGAAGAGACATACGTAATCCCAACAGTGAATTCACAGATAAACCAAATGGTGCATGTTTTCTTTTTAGCAGAAGAAATATTTCAATAGTTGATCAAGTCAACTACCAATGCATGACCTTCAATTAGAGCAAACCAAGCATGAACTTCTGATTGTCATTATAGTCAATTCAACAAGTATTTGCTCTTGCCATTGAATTATGTCACCACCGCATCTTGTGAATGAGGTTGCTTGGTATTGTGTTGATATGGACTTTTAAAGGTGGGGATTCAAAAAATTTATGTATGAGAGAGAGAGAGAGAATTAGGAGGCATTATACACAAGATATACATAAATAGAAATTATGAAAACATGTTGCAAAGTCACGTAGCAACAAGTCCAAAATAGTTGATAGAGATGCATAAGCCCATGTCAATCCACAACAAAAAGAAAAAGAAAAAAGAGAGACACAGAGAGAGCTTCACTTAATAATATATAATTTAATATGTGTGTAGCTTTACCTTCACAGCTCAAGAAATTTACTCAATATCATGCATTCCATGACTATATTTTGGCATGAAATTCTTTATCACATCTCAGAGAGTAGGATCTCATCCTTTAGTTGAGAGTATATCAACAATCAAGGAAGAATTAGATGTATCTATTGAAACCCCTTTGAACCATTTCCTCAACAAGTATTAATGCCTCATAGCACATGTGTTGTCCAATAAATCCTCGGATAACAATGTTGTAAGTGAAATCATTTGGCAAACAACCATTTTGTTCCATTTTAACAAACAACTCTTTAGCTTCATGTAGTAGGCCTTCTTCACAAAGACCTTTTATCATCATAGTGTATGTCTTAACATTAGGATCTAATCCCTTGGAAGAAAGGTTACTGAAAAAAGCCCTTGCAGTATCAAGCTTTTTATCATTGCAGAATGCATTAATGAGGATAGAATACTTAACAATATCAAGATGTAAATCATTACTTTCCATCATGTGGAATAATGACAATGCTTCAAAAATATGCCCATTTTTGCACAACCCATCCAATAAGATACTACAAGTTTGAGAATTTGGAATTATTTCTACAGCTTGGATCTCATTAAAAAGTTATTGAACATCCACATCTACTTGATCGAAACATATAGCGATCCCGGTTTCCCTTTCTTGATTTGTTGTATTCCAGACTCGATTCCGTGGAGTTGGTGGTTGTATATCTTGTTGTCATCCTTTAATTCCATATATTTGAGTTTTAGGATGTGTTGGGTGTGTTTCGAACAGGTAGGTTGAGTTTTGGTCTCAAGTGTTGTTGCCCAAAGTTTTGGTGTTATGCTCGAGCAGGTCATTCTGCGCTCGAGCGGAGTTTGCTTTTTGATTGTCCGCTCGAGCGGGTCTTCTTGCGCTCGAGCAGGGTTTACACACTCCCAGTATTTCGTGTCCCTGCAAAACTTCTGCAAGTGTGTTTTTCACGCTCGAGCGGGTTTCCTACGCTCGAGCGGGTCACGCTCGAGCAGGTATATTGGCGCTCGAGTGGGTAGTGCTTTGTCTGAGAAAGTTCTGGGAGGGGAAAATCTATGCTCGAACGGAGTGATTTTCACGCTCGAGCGGATGTACTTTATTCTTTTGTCTTGGCGCTCGAGCGGGACTTCTTGTGCTCGAGCAGACCCAATTTTTTTTGCCTGACGCTCGAACGTTCTATTCTCCGCTCGAGCAGGTCATGCGTATATCAGTTGGCAGCTGTGATATTTTAAACCACTTTTTACATCCTCACTCTCTCTCTTACTTTTCAATAACACCATTGGAGAGCTTCTCTCACTAAAACCTCCACTTCTCTCTAGGTATTGATCTAGTTAGAGTAATCTCTCACCCTTCGGCCTTTGTGAAAAGTGTGTTGATCGTCGAGGGCTACATTTTGATCCAAGAATTTTGGGATTTGGAGCATCTTCGTTTTCTTCATCTTCTTCGTTGGTATTCATCTCTTGAGGTAGGGATTCCTACTCACTCTTATGGGCTTTGACCTAGAATTTGAGCTTTTGTATAAATGGTTTGGGTTTTGAAAGTTAAGGTTTCAAATGTGTAATTTTGAAAGAGGGTTATGTTTATTTTGAACCATAAACATGTATTTGGGTTTCAAAATGAGTATATTGATATTGTTGGTAATATTTAGACCCTCGGGGTTAATATTGAGAGATATGGGAGAAAGCCCTAAATTGTGCATGAATTAATTGGTGTAATTAATTTGGCAAAGTTATGGGTTTGTGAAATTGAGTTGAATATAACGAAATTGGCTCATTATGAGATGGAATAGTGGAGTCGGATTTATAAATCACTCACTTTTGAAAACGCGGATAATTTATCTGTTAGTGCTTTTGTTATCTGTTTAGAAATAACTGCTTTGGGCTACCGGTGGAGGGTAGTCTTGATTGTTGTAGATAATGCATGATGATTAGGCAAACTAAACCTGATCAATTGAATGTGTTATAGAATATGACAGTTGAAATAATACATTAACTTTATGTATTAATTGAATGTGTATATGATCTGTGTTTATATACATTGTGTTGTGTGGGAGGAGATAGGGGATGTACTCCACAGTTTATGAGAAGATAGGGGATGGACCTTTAAACCGGATATTGTTTGGGAGGAGATAGGGGATGGACTCTGTTGATACAGCTCATATGCTTATCAGTTGAAGTGTTGATACAGCTAGTATGCTTATCTATTGTGAAATGGGAAATGTTTAATATGAGTTACTATCTCATCTGAATTGTTAGGCCAGGTTCTGGGCCATAGTTATGAATAGAGAATTGGATATGAAATGGAAAATGAAATGAAACATGGACACATTTGTCATGTAATGGAAATGGTTTATGAATTGATTCATGTGAGTCAAACATTTATCAATGTCTTAGTTACTGCTCATACTATGTTTAGCATATCTCTACTGGGCGTTGGCTCACCCTTTATGGGACATCATTTTCAGGTACAGGCAGCAAGCCACCTCCAAGGACATAGCTTGGGAGGCTAGAGGCAAATAGACCGTTTTGTTGTTTTGCTTTCTTTTGATGTATTACATGTAAATTCAAGCCAAGGGCTTAACATGTATTTGAGTTAGCACTCTTCTTTTTGTAACCAAGTGTTACCTTGGAAAGCTGTAAGCCCATAGGGCACTTGCTTTTGTTGTTAACATGTAATACTTTTGTAAGAACTACTCTGATGAATAGAAATGTATTTATTTCTCTTATATCATTGCATGTCTAAATAGATGGGTTTTATGTATTTTGAGGGCGTTACAACTTGGTATCAGAGCGTACCGGGTTTGAATACTTTGGGTACGTGGGAAGTGATTAGTATCACAATGGGTTTGTCTCGTTTGTTAGAGACTTCGATATAATGTTATGTGCTTATGTGATAACATATTTATGTGACTACTTGGGTATGGGATTTAGTTTCTAGGATGTTGATTGGATCCTTGGGTTTCTGTGAGTCTTGTTGGAAAAGCACTTGATCAATGTTGTTTCTAACCGGAACTCTAGTAACGCCTCGGGACTATCATTATCCGGAAATGAAATTCGTAAGTGCTTATGTGTTTATGTGTTTATGTGCTTGCGTGGAGTGAATTACAATTGTCCATGTATTAGGACGCGAGTGTTATAGCTTCGACACATTTGTGAATGTGCTAACGTTCTTCGTTACCTTTATTAGGATGTCAAGACGAGGACGAGGAGGTAGACATGGTAGGCGTGGTAGGCAGGAGATGCCTTTACCGGATGATAATCCGGCGCAGCAGGAGGGGGTTGGCCAGGCCAATGTGGCCGAGCCAGCAGGACAGGAGGCTGTGGGCGCTTTAGCCCGTGGAATAACTGATGCTTTGAGGAAGTCTATGGGTATTCTCAGAATTGAGAATCCAGTGCAAGCCCAAGTTCAGGCCCCGGTTGTTGATGCAGGGCCTTCCTTCTTGAAGAGGGAGTTCTTCCAGTCTTATCCAGATGAGTTTGTCGGGGACCCGAAAGAGCCACTTAAGGCGGATGAGTGGTTGGAACAGATAACAAAGATGTTCGAGATGCTTGGCATTGAGAACGGAGCATTGAAAGTGACCTTGGCATCTTTCCAGCTAAATGGGGATGCGGGTCAATGGTGGAAGTTCACGAGAGGCCATATTGGGGGCACATGGGAGGCTTTTGTGGATGCTTTCCAAGGGAAGTACTTATCCCCAACTGTCAGAGAGAAGCTGCGAGACCAGTTTTGCCAGCTTAAGCAGATGGGTTTGTCAGTGGCCGAGTATGAGGCTGCTTTTACTAGCTTGTCCAGGTTTGCACCTGAACTTGTGGCATCCGAAGAACGCCGTTGCCTCGAGTTTGAGAAGAAGATGAGGCGTGGACTCAAGATGAGAGTTGGGGGTTCTATGAACCGAGACTTTCGGCATCTTATGGATGCTGCAGCCCATATGGAGATCATGATGCAAGAGGAGGAGGAGGGGTAGAAAGGCTCCAACAGGAACCAGGATGGTCAGGGTGATAGCAGGAGACAAAGGGGTTCTAACCCTCAGCAGTCTCAAGGAGGTTTTGCTAGATCGACCTTTCCAGTGCCGAGTGCAGGCTCGGGGAGAGTCAGCCAGGGAGACATCACTTGTTTCAAATGTGGTCAGCTGGGCCATAAGTCTCCAGTTTGCCAATAGAGGGAAGGAGGTCAGAGAGCAGCTTCATCATCGGCTCGACCTCAGGGCCAAAGTCAGGGCAGGGGTCAGCCATTGTCTTGCTATCAGTGTGGTCAGCCTGGGCACCTGAAGAGGTTTTGCCCACAGTTGAGTGCCACATCGAAAGTGTCTGGTTCTAGGCAGACGCAGGGTTTTCAGCCAGCTCAATCTGTGCAGGCCTCGAGGGCTAATCTGGGAGCTTCATCTTCCCAGTCTGTACAACAGTCTTTTGCTCCTAGAGGTGAGCAGGTGGATCAGGGGCCTACAGGGCGCGTGTATGTTGTTACCGCGCAGGATCTAGTACAGGCTCCATCAGTTGTGAGAGGTACATTTCTGTTTTGCAACTCGGTTGCTAGTGTGTTGATTAATACGGGTGCATCTCATTCCTTTGTATCTGCTGCATTTCCATCTATTTTGGAATTGGAGTTGACACAGTTAGCATCTCCTATATGTGTTGTATCACCTATTGGGGGTGAATTGATTTTGAAACAAGGTTGTAGAGGTTGTGATATAGAGGTCGTCGATCGTCGGCTTCCGTTTCCCTTTGTAGTTATGCCCATGTCGGGATTTGGTGTTATTTTGGGTATGGACTGGCTGTCATCATACTGAGCTGTTATCGATTGCTACCGCCAGAGGGTCACAGTATGTACCCCGAGCGGGGAGTGTTTCCATTTCTTGGGGGACCGGGTTGTTAGTGTGTTACCACTGATGTATGATCCGCGAGGGCGGAGTGAGTTTAGTGGTCTTCTTACTAGCCTTTTGAGTAGTGAGTGTGATGAGACCCAGATTATATTACCAAGAGTGGTTTGTGAGTACTCGAATGTTTTTCCCGAGGACCTCGTTAGTTTTCCACCTCACCGAGAGATAGAGTTCTCTATTGATTTAGTGCCCGGTACGGTGTCGATTTCTATGGCACCCTATCGTTTTCCCCCAACCGAGTTGAGTGAGTTGAAGATTCAGCTCCAGGAATTGCTAGATAAGGGCTTTATTCGCCCTAGTGTTTCGCCGTGGAGAGCACCAGCCCTCTTTGCTAAAAAGAAAGATGGTGCCTTGAGACTTTGTATCGATTACCGGAAGTTGAATCGGGCTACGGTTAAGAATAAGTATCCTATGCCCCGTATAGATGATTTGTTTGACCAGTTGAAGCGTTCCCGTTGTTTTTCCAAGATAGACTTGAGATCGGGTTACCACCAATTGAGAGTCAGGGAGGAGGATATTCCGAAGACGGCATTCCGTACGGGGTATGGCCACTATGAATTTCTGGTGATGCCATTTGGGCTCACCAATGCACCGGCAGTCTTTATGGATTTGATGAACCAGATCTTCTGGGAATTCTTAGATCGTTTTGTGGTCGTTTTCGTGGACGACATTCTTATCTATTCACCTTCAGAGGAGCAGCACGAGGAACACTTGAGAGTGGTGCTTGAGTTGCTTAGAGCCCATAGGCTGTATGCCAAGTTTGGGAAGTGTGAGTTCTGGCTAGGAGAAGTTAAGTTCTTAGGCCATGTGGTTTTTGGGGAAGGGGTGTCTGTTGATACATCCAAGATAAAGACAGTGCAGGATTGGGCACAGCCTAAGAGTGTTTTTTAGATCCGTAGTTTTCTGGGATTAGCTGGGTATTACTGCCGGTTTGTGAAAGATTTCTCCAGGCTAGTTTTTTCGGTGACTAGGTTGACGCGGAAAGGAGTCAAGGTTGTATGGAGTGAGACTTGCGAAAAGTCGTTCCAAGAGTTGAAGGTTAGATTGACCACTGCTCCGATTTTGATTATTCTGGAGAGAGAGTTGGGTTATACGGTTTATTGTGATGCCTCACGAGAGGGTTTGGGTTGTGTGTTGATGCAAGAAGGGAAAGTGGTAGCTTATGGCTCACGTCAGTTGAAAATACACGAAAGGAATTACCCTACACATGACCTTGAGTTAGCAGCTGTGATTTTTGCCTTAAAGATTTGGAGGCACTACCTTTATGGTGAGAGGTTCGAGGTGTTTTCGGACCATAAAAGTTTGAAGTACCTGTTTACACAGAGGGACTTGAATTTGAGGCAGAGAAGGTGGATGGAGTTCATTGAGGACTACAACTTTGAGTTGCACTATCACCCGGGGAAAGCCAATGTTGTGGCCGATGCCCTTAGCAGAAAATCCATTAGTGATGTAGCTTGTATAGCCATCCGGGAATGGGAGATGTTGGGGGCACTTGGCGAGTTTGATTTGCTTCTAGGCGAGTTTGTTGAGACTGCGGCCTTGTTTTTGGTTGTTGCGCAGCCTACACTTGTGACTCGAGTGTTAGAGGCACAAAGAGGTGACCTTGAGGTAGAATCCCTCCGAGAGAAGATCTCCAATGGGAAGGTTGAGAAGGGTTTGACAGTGTATTCCGACATGAGTGTGAGATACCGAGACCGTTTGTTTGTGTCGGAGTCTTGCCGAGAGGAGGTACTCCGAGAGTTCCATCATTCACGCCTTGCGGTGCATCCGGGAGGCACTAGATGTATCGAGATTTGGGTCGCCAGTTTTGGTGGCGGGGTATGAAGAAGGATGTAGTGGTGTTCGTTTCTAAGTGCCTTACTTGTCAGCAAGTGAAAGCCGAGCATCAGATACCAGCGGGTTTGTTGCAACCCTTGCCTATTGTCGAGTGGAAGTGGGAGCATGTCACTATGGACTTCGTTGTAGGTCTTCCAAGGACTGAGCGGGGTAATGATGCTATTTCGGTGGTTGCAGACCGGTTGACTAAGTCGGCACACTTTATCCCTATGCGCGTAAGAGATTCGGTAGATCATCTAGCCGACTTGTATATCCGGGACATAGTGAGGTTGCACGGGGTCCCAGTGACGATCGTCTCAGACAGAGATCCTCGTTTTACCGCTAGGTTGTGGCAGAGTTTGCAAAGTGCCTTGGGTACTAGGTTGACCTTTAGCACGGCTTATCATCCTCAGACTGACGGGCAGTCCGAGCGTACTATCCAGATGCTTGAGAATATGCTTCGAGGTTGTGTCCTTGACTTTAGTGGGACGTGGAAAAGGCATTTGCCCTTGGTGGAGTTTGCTTACAACAACAGTTTTCAGTCAAGTATCGGTATAGCACCGTTTGAGGCCTTGTATGGCCGACCTTGTAGGTCTCCAGTATGTTGGGCCGAGGTGGGTGATGCAACTTTGTTGGGCCCGAAGTTGGTTAGAAAGACGACGGAGAAAGTTGAGCTTATCCGTAGGAGGCTTGTTACAGCCCAGAGTCGCCAAAAGAGTTATGCTGACCGTAGGAGGAGGCCTTTGGCATTTGAGACAGGTGATCATGTTTTCTTGAAAATATCACCAAGGCGAGGTTTGATGAGGTTTGGGAAGAGTGGGAAGTTATCCCCTCGGTTTATCGGTCCCTTTGAGATCCTTGAGAGAATTGGGGAGGTCGCTTACCGTTTGGCTTTGCCACCGCAGTTGTGCGGGGTACATGACGTATTTCATGTTATTATGCTTCAGAAGTACGAATCGGATCCATCCCATGTGTTGGATTGGACCGACTTAGAGGTTGATGAGGATGCCTTGTATGAGGAGAGACCGGTTCGGGTCTTGGATAGACGGGATCAAGTCCTGCGAGGCAAGACCATTCCCTTGGTAAAGGTTTTGTGGAAACATCACAGAGTGGAAGAAGCCACTTGGGAACGTGAGTTGGAAGTCCGTAAGAAATATCCGGACCTGTTTGTTGATGTGTAACCATGCATTGGTAATTTTGTAATATTGTTGAACTTTAAGAGCATTGAATACGTCTTAAGTTGTGAAACATTGTAAATGTTTTGGTTTATGGAAGTATATTTTGAAACTTGCCTTATAATGGAAGTTAATTTTAACATTGTATATGTTAATGATGTTTTAGAAATCCAAATGTATGGTTGGCATTGAATATATTGTGAGATGCATGTTGATAATGCATGTTGGAAATAAGGTGGAAATTTGCCTCTTGAATAGAGGGGATGACCGGTAATTAGTCAAGTTGTTAAATTTGGCATTGTGATAATGATTGGTAATTGGGAAATCCTATTTTTGAAAAACTTGTATTTAATTTTGGGGATGAAATTCTTTAAGGGGGGAAGGATATAGTGATCCCGGTTTCCCTTTCTTGATTTGTTATATTCCGGACTCGATTCCGTGGAGTTGGTGGTTGTATATCTTGTTGTCATCCTTTAATTCCATATGTTTGAGTTTTAGGATGTGTTGGGCGTGTTTCAAACAGGTAGGTTGAGTTTTGGTCTCAAGTGTTGTTACCCAGAGTTTTGGTGTTACGCTTGAGCGGGTCATTCTGCGCTCGAGTGGAGTTTGCTTTTTGGTTGTCCGCTCGAGCAGGGTTTACACACTCCCAGTATTTCGTGTCCCTGCAAAACTTCTACAAGTGTGCTTTTCACACTCGAGCGGGTTTCTTACGCTCGAGCGGGTCGCGCTCAAGCGGGTATATTGGCGCTCGAGCGGGTAGTGCTTTGTCTGAGAAAGTTCCAAGAGGGAAAAATCTATGCTCAAGCGGACTGGTTTTTGCGCTCGAGCGGATGTACTTTATTCTTGTGTCTTGGCGCTCGAGCGGGACTTCTTGCGCTCGAGCGGACCCAGTTTTTTTTGCTTGATGCTCAAGCGTTCTATTCTCTGCCCGAGCGGATCATGTGTATATCAGTTGGCAGCTGTGATATTTTAAACCACTTTTTATATCCTCACTCTCTCTCTTACTTTTCAATAACACCATTGGAGAGCTTCTCTCACTAAAACCTCCACTTCTCTCTAGGTATTGATCTAGTTAGAGTAATCTCTCACCCTTCGGCCTTTGTGAAAAGTGTGTTGATCGTCGAGGGCTACATTTTGATCCGAGAATTTTGGGATTTGGAGCATCTTCGTTTTCTTCATCTTCTTCATTGGTATTCATCTCTTGAGGTAGGGTTCCTGCTCACTCTTATGGGCTTTGACCTAGAATTTGAGCTTTTGCATAAATGGTTTGGGTTTTGAAAGTTACGGTTTCAAATGTGTAATTTTGAAAGAGGGTTATGTTTATTTTGAACCATAAACATGTATTTGGGTTTCAAAATGAGTATATTGATATTGTTGGTAATATTTAGACCCTCGGGGTTAATATTGAGAGATGTGGGAGAAAGCCCTAAATTGTGCATGAATTAATTGGTGTAATTAATTTGGCAAAGTTATGGGTTTGTGAAATTGAGTTGAATATAACGAAATTGGCTCATTATGAGATGGAATAGTGGAGTCGGATTTATAAATCACTCACTTTTGAAAACGCGGATAATTTATCTGTTAGTGCTTTTATTATCTGTTTAGAAATAATTGCTTTGGGCTACCAGTGGAGGGTAGTCTTGATTGTTGTAGACAATGCATGATGATTGGGCAAACTAAACCTGATCAATTGAATGTGTCATAGAATATGACGGTTGAAATAATACATTAACTGTATGTATTGATTGAATGTGTATATGATTTGTGTTTATATACATTGTGTTGTGTGGGAGGAGATAGTCAAACAAAATTAAGAAAATTAATAAAAATAATAATAAATTTAATTTTTATAACAAAATAAATATTTAATTTTAGTTTTATCAATTAAATTCTTAATCTTTTAATTTAAACAACTTGTATATTTTAATCAAGTAAAATCGGAAGACCTATCTAAATAAAAAAACAAAGTAAAATAGGAAGAAAAAGAATATTTAGTATATATTAAAGTGCAAATTAGCCGCAACTCCTATTTGAAAGAGGAGAAATATATTTAGTCTCACAATCTTTTGGATACTTTCAAAAGCCCGCTATGCATTTTTCTTCATCATTCTTCTCTGTGCCTTCGTTCTTCTCTACCTCTTTCTCTTTCTGATTTCCTGCGATCAGCGATCATGCCTTACTTCGTCTCTTTCTCTTTCTAATATTCAGTCATCGGCAACCAACAACCACTACTATGTTTAGCATATCTTTACTGGGCGTTGGCTCACCCTTTATGGGACATCATTTTCAGGTACAGGCAGCATGCCACCTCCAAGAACATAGCTTGGGAGGCTAGAGGCAGACAGACTGTTTTGTTATTTTGCTTTCTTTTGATGTATTACATGTAAATTCAAGCCAAGGGCTTAACATGTATTTGAGTTAGCACTCTTCTTTTTTGTAACCAAGTGTTAACTTGGAAAGCTGTAAGCCCATAGGGCACTTGCTTTTGTTGTTAACATATAATACTTTTGTAAGAACTACTCTGATGAATAAAAATGTATTTATTTCTCTTATATCATTGCATGTCTAAATAGATGGGTTTTATGTATTTTGAGGGTGTTACAAAACAAACCATGTAGCATAACATTGAAGGTTTCGGTGTTAGGTTTCAACTCCCTTTGAGGCAATTCTCGAAAGAGAAGCATGGCCTCATCAATTTTCATCTTTTTCCAATATCCATTAATCAAAATGTGGTGACTAACAATGTCAGGGTGAAGGCCCCTATCCACGATGGTATTGAACACTCTGATTGCTTCATCCATTTGGCCTTGCAAACAATATCCATCCATTAGAGCATTGTATGTGACTACATCAGGATCCACACCTTTTTGTATCATGACTTCAAGTGCCCCCTCTGCCTCTTTTATCTTCCCTTCCTTGGTACATGCATCTAGCAACACACTATATGTATGAACATCCAGAGTAATACCACTATCCAACATTTCTTTGAACATTTCCGTAGCCTCCTCCCACCGACCGAAATTACATAAGCCATGAATCGAAGAGGTATAAGTGACAACATTTCGGAAAATACCCTTTTCATTCATTTTAGAAAGAGTTTGAGAGCATCATCCACCATTCGATCCTTGCAAAAACTATCAATGATCATGGTATACACTATAGTGTTAGGTTTACAACTTGTCTCTTCCATTATCTTAAGCAAACTAACAACCCTGATAGTGTTTCCCGTTCTGCAGAGCCCATTAACACAATTCCATACATAACCACATTGGGTTTAATTTCTCTCGTTCTCATTAATTTCTTAAATAACTCTACAGCTTCAGGTTGATTCGTTATTTAAGCAACAACAAGAGAACTTAGGTTTTGGGTAGTAGAGAGAGAATGAAACAAAAGAAATAAGAATGAAGAGGGATGATTAATTAGAGAGGGAAATATTGTACCTTTTTGACAATTCTATTAACAATTCTTCTTCTTCCTCTTCATCCCATAATGGAAGAAACAGAATCTCTTCTTTTTGACATCTTCTTCAAGCTCTGTCACTCTGTGTGTCTGAGAGGAAAGATCAAGAGAGATAGAGCCTGAGAGAGAGAGAGAGAGAGAGAGAGAAGAGGAGAAGAGGAGGAGGAAGAGAACAGTCTAGAGTAGTACCACTAATTTCAAATTATTTTCGAAAGGAAAATGGGTGAGACCTCCATTTTTGAGAGCCCACAACCCCAAAGTGATTCATACCATTCATGCATGTGTCAGGACTACTCATATATGTGTGGGGTCTACATCATGAGTAGTGTGGATCACTTTGGGGGTTGTGGGGTCTCCAAAAAAAGGATCTCTATCATTGTTAATTTTTTAAAACATACACTCATTTGTAATTTCTTCAAACAAAATTAAGAAAATTAATAAAAATAATAATAAATTTAATTTTTATAACAAAATAAATATTTAATTTTAGTTTTATCAATTAAATTCTTAATCTTTTAATTTAAACAACTTGTATATTTTAATCAAGTAAAATCGGAAGACCTATCTAAATAAAAAAACAAAGTAAAATAGGAAGAAAAAGAATATTTAGTATATATTAAAGTGCAAATTACCCGCAACTCCTATTTGAAAGAGGAGAAATATATTTAGTCTCACAATCTTTTGGATACTTTCAAAAGCCCGCTATGCATTTTTCTTCATCATTCTTCTCTGTGCCTTCGTTCTTCTCTACCTCTTTCTCTTTCTGATTTCCTGCGATCAGCGATCATGCCTTACTTCGTCTCTTTCTCTTTCTAATATTCAGTCATCGGCAACCAACAACCACCATTGATTGGGGTTCATCGGCAACCACCGACTACCAACTTCTTACTTCACCCTTACCAATGACGAAGAAGACGAGTTTTCAGCAAAGATGAGTAGATCTACTCAAATCCGACTAGATCTAAACAAAAAATAATTACCAAAGTATAATCTTTTCTCTATATCTGTTTCTCTCCTTCAATCTCTTTATTTTTCTATTTTTTTATTTCTTTCTCTACTACACATTTCTATTTTCCTATTTTAATGGAAAAAAAATTTCAAGCTATGAACAAGTTGTTTTCGAGTTTTAGTTACAGACAGTGAAAACTGTAAAGTTTTACAGTTTCAATTTTTTTTGTGCTAAAATGAATCATGCTTTAAAACTGTAAAATTTTCTAGTTTGATTAATAAGGATAAATACTTAATAGAATGGGGATTTTTTTTAGGGTCCCTGGTATTAAGATTTTATAGCATAAAGGACATCCAATATTTTCATAATGTCTAAGGTCTCTCAAATCGATCTAGAGAAAATTCAATCCAGATAATTTCTCTGGTCCAAACTAGAGAAATTTTCTTTGATTTACTTATAATTTTCTTTGATTTGTTTACCATTCTCTCTGCGTTCAACAACAACAACCATCTAGCTTTAAGTAAATCCAAGTCCAATCTACCACTATACTCTACATATATGGATGACAAGAAAAAAACAAAAACAATAAGTTCTTAAGAATCCACAATCAATTCTCATATTATCTTATTCTCAAATCCAAATCCCCGAACATTTGTGGATATATATATACATACAAACACACATGGAAGGTGAATGGAAGTCACGTTGATTCCTAGAGAAATTCCTAACTCAAGCCTTCATCATCTTCTTTCTCTAGAGAAATTCTGGGAGGAATTGCTCTAGATTTCCCACTCTCTAGAGAAATTCTGGACTTCCTAGAGAAATTCCTAACTCAAGCCTTCACCATCTTTTTGAATTCTTCAAAATTAACGCATCCATCACCATCACACATCAACAGATTTGATCAATCCCAAAACTTAACAAAAATCAAAAAACAAGCCTAGGAAATCAAGATACTTTACTTTGCACCCCCTCTGCTGATCATATCCTTGTACCTTATAGTGGAGTCCAACCTCTGCAACTTCAACTACTACCTAAACTTGTTGATGAAATCATCAGCCTTCGCATCAACCTGTTCATCTTCTATAGCCTCTGTCGAGACTCTACCCTTCTTCACCTTCGCCGACGATTTCCTCCTCTTTGAAGCGCGCGAAAGTCGACTTGGCGCTCGCTAACTTTCGAATCTTTGGCGAAAGCTTCTTCAAAAACTCGCCAGAGATGGGGTTGGTATCGGACTTGGTCCTATTCACGTGATGATGGTAGACCTCGTCTAGACTCCTCGAATCATCTTCTAAGAAATGGGTTTGTTAAGAATTTTGATGGGTCTCTAATTTGGGGAATTCTGAATCTATGTTTGGGTTTGATTGAAGTCGTGAGATTTGGAAGTGCATTGAAGGGAGTGAAGTGAGGTTTGGATTTAGAGAGAAAGAGAGATGAAATATGGAAGGTAGAAAAAGAGAGAGATGAGGTTTGATTTGAGAGAGTCAAATTTCTCTGTGATATATGGGTGTGGGGTTAAGAGACTTTAGACATCATAAAATAATATTGTGTATCTCTTCCATGACTAAAAATGGGAGAGGGACTTTAGACTAATTTTCCCTAATAGAATCATGTTTTGAAACTGTAACATTTTACAATTCCAAAGCTTGCTTTTTAGTTCGATCAATATTGGAGATTATTTGCTTAAATCCTACAAAAATTGAAAAATAATATATCTTTTTTCCCATTGTTGTGTTTGTTATTATGTTTTTTTTCCCCTTGCAATTTATCAATATTTAGTACATTTTGCTTCTTTTTTTTTACTCTAATTTTTCTATTTATTCTTCATTTTTTTGGGACAATATTCTGGACATTCTAGTGAGTCTTCAATGATGATCTTGATGTCTAGTGAACATTTTGGACATTCTGGCGACTTCCAATGATGTTCAGAACACTCCAGCGACATCCCGATGATGTTGAACATTTTGGCAAGTCTTAGGTGATTGTTTGACTGAAGTCCGGTGATGGTGGGATGTAACAGCGTTTTAATTTTTTTTTTTTAAATAGGGATTTTTTTGGTAGAGTGATTCTACTTACACCACTAGTTTACCTCTTTACACCTTCCATCTCATTACACCACTAAAAAAAAAAAAATTTGATTCTCATTACATCCATTATACTATCAAAACTAACCCTAAAATAAAAACTCTTCAAAACCCTTCAGTTTTATCTCTTTACGCCGATAGCTTTTGGTAATACAATGCTAAAGAATTTGAATTACTCTAGTGCCATATTACTAGACAAACTAATTTTTTCCAGCCATTTGTTGTCGTTCAATTGGATGATTTTACTTACTTTAACAATAAATTAGTTGGAGCCCATTTGTGAAGTGCCTGTTTGGTGATATATTGGTATACAAATTAGATTACTCTAGTGTCATGTTGTTGAACTAAAATAAATTTGTTCAACCACCTATCACTTTACACGTGTTGTAGATTGTCTTCATTGTTGTCGCATTAAAGGCATCCCTCTATTTCAATGTAATCGATATCTCTTTTGGTCGCATCATACTCTTTGACATGTTAACTAACAATGATGTTCCTCCTCATATAATCTACCAACAAATGAGTGCCCTTCAAGATGTTCAGCAGTCGGATGATTGTACTTGCATTGCTACAATAAATAGAAGCATAATCCTTCCAAGCCAAAAAACAAAAAACAAAAAAAAAAATTGAAACTGGAAATGCATAGTAATGAGTAACCGAAAAAATTAAAAACGTTCGGCCTTGGGTTGTTGGAAATGTACCTTTTATTCAGCATTGGGTTACCGAACATATTTTTTTGTTCGGCAATGTGATTTCTGTTTTATTTTGTTCGATTTTGACACACCAAACAAATGTCGAAGAACTCTCCCAAAAAACGCAATGAAAACCTACCAAACAAATAAAAAAAAACTACAATTTCATTTTTTTTTATGGTTCTTCACCACCATTTCTTCATCCATTGCTTTTTTCTATGATCAAAACACTATTGATTCTCACTTTTTGAATAGGCATATATAATAGAGAAACAAAAAACCGAGAAGGGAAGAAGAGCACTAGGGATTGAAGGGCAATGTGTGAAATGAGATAATAAAATATATTTAATTCTAGTCTTTTGTCCTTAAAAGTAATTTCACATGTGTAAAATTGGAAAAAAAAAAAAAAAAAAATCTCATATGGAGGGTGTAAAGAGATAAACTAGTGACGTAAATAGAATTACTTTTTTTTGGTAACAATTAAAAATATATAAGACTAATTGGTGCAAGTGTTTTGTTTTGAAACTAAATGTGTTTTGCCCGAACTTAAGCAAATTACCTGAAAGTCCTATATAAAAGAGGAGAAGTCTATTTAGTCTCATAACCTTTTGGATACTCTTAAGTCCACTATGTGTTTTTCTTCTTCGTTCTTCGTTGTGCATTTGTTCTTCTTTGCCTCTTTCTCTTCTTGATTTCCGGTGACCACGCCTTGCTTCTTCTTTTTTCCTTTCTCTTTCTAATATATAGTCACTGGTGACCGACGATCAACATTGATTAGGGTTCACCGGCAACCACCGACCACCGATTCC